ATATATATATCAAGATAGACGTTAACACTGTAAAATTATATATAAATAATCAAAGAAAGGTAAATACAATGTTCTAATAAAGGACATGATGGTACATCGTGTAGCATAGCTCTCAACGAATGTTCCATAAATCTAGAGGTATATGCTACACTAGATGTACCATTATGTCTTTTATTTGAACACTGTATTTATGTAACTGTTTGTATATAGACCTATTTGACTACCAGTGCAAGGGAAGTAATCTCTAAGGTGGTTCCTTAATGATCTAACGTACAATAAGTGATAACTATTACACTTAATATTTGTTTAATGTTCTCGTATTAAATTAGATCTTTCAGAAGCAGCTTAACACTAGCATTATCTTGTCTAACTTTCAAACTATTCCAATGACGTCAGAATTAGGAGCGATATCTAATAATGATACCCTAAGGTCTTTCGAACTGATAATGAACAATTCAGCAAGTGATTCAGTATTTCTCATTCGGTAAGTATTTTTCATTTTTAGTTTTTAAATGTAATTATCGTTATTAGGCAAACAATAAATACCCAAATTTGTGTTGTTACCCGACCGAAACAAACTCTATTAAAACAAAATAAAATGTATATATATTTTAATAAAATGTATATATATTTTAATAAAATGTATATATATTTTAATAAAATGTATATATATTTTAATAAAATGTATATATATTTTACCAAGAACGTTCCTAAATACTCATATGATGTTTTAAAGGACCACTTTGTTACCTTGATTACCGTTATACCAAGCAAAATGTATGAGGTGAGTGATGCCTAGAAATAACCCAATAAATAGTGACAAAAAATGACGACTAACCAAATGTCGCTGTGCTTGAGCAAGTTAAAAATTGTTGTGGTCTATCATTGTACTTTACATCATGTACGAATATAACATCTGAGCACTGTTTCTATCATTTACTTATATTATGTTTGTAGTGTATGTTTCTTATTAAAAGAACACTTTACCTGTATATTTGTTTTCATTCAGTGGGACTTACTTAAGTATACAGTAATTGTTTGCATGTTTAATATAACTCCATAATGTTGGGTTATACGACTTTTCCAACTGACATGACTACTATTTTTTTTTATTTAATGATTTCAGGGTTTTTTCTTCACCCTCCGTTGAATCTACCTTTGATACTATGTGTAGTAAATCATTTACAGGTGGTGTAATTAACGTAAGTAGAGTATCAGAAAATACATTGTTCTTTACAAACAGAAAAATAAGACTAATATGTAATTATTTATAACAAAAGAAAATAAGAATGATGATGATGATGATGATGATGATGATGATGATGATGATGATGATGATGATGTTGATTATCATCACAATACATAGCCTACTACTCAGTCATGAGACATGATTCAGCATGGTGTTTTAATCTTAATAATATGCATTGCAAAGACAATTGTCTGTCGATGTAACTCCTGTAGTGAATTTCTGGAATCTCAGACACCAGCAGTCAACAACTGTTCAACGTCATGAGAATATATCCTCAGCATCTCATTGACAGGCCTACGTAACTACTGTGTACCAGTGTGTACGCAACTACCGTAGTACACAACTACTATAAATCCGCCATCATAGCTTTATTCTTAATATCATACGAATTATATTTCTAAAAATAGTTATGGCTGATTGATTTATATTAAGATATTTCGCAATAGAAATTGTTATAGTAATATTTAAATATTTGTTTCTCGTAAGTTTAGGTCGTGGCGATGGATGACGCACAGACTTTAGCACGACAGCTTATGTATGGACTTGGAATAAATTTAGGATTCATTAATCTTACCTCAGGTAAGTACGTTTTGATTTATTCAGTTGGAATAAATATAAAATATATGGTGACAATGACTCTATAAATACAAAGATCATGATGAACATAATTTGCCGTAGAACATACATTCCAAACAGTTTTTCTGTTATTTATTTATAGTTATTATATAGTCCGTTTTTCTGTATTTGTGATGTGCAAGTTCCTCTTGTATTTTATTTTAAAACTAGAAAATAGATTAAGCCATTTGAATGTTTGTTTAAACGCTTCATTAACCTTTCACATAATAATGGCAGTTGAACATAAAATAATTAGGCTTGATGTTAGTATTATGAGTATTGTAGTTACAAAGACACTATGTGTCTGTTCTGTAAACGTACACAAGGGCCCAGATCTGTTTTGAAAGGTGAGGTGCGAACATTTGAGAAAAAAATAGTACCTCTAGATCGCCGGAAATGACACTCTTGTAGGCCTACAGTAAAATTCATCATCATCACATCACCATTATTTCTCATGATCTTTTATCAGCGATTTTCGGCAACCATAGAGATTTAATTAATATGTGTGGTGTACTATAGAAAATAAAACTTAAAACAATTTCTTTGATGGAAATACTTTATTTTACCTACTTCAAAGCCGTGAGCCTACACCCACCACCAACGTGGTTGGTACTGAGGTGCGAACATTTGAGTAAATCACCTCTGGTGGCCGGAAATGATACTCTTATACTGTACAGTGAAATTCTTCATCATCACATCACCATTGTAGTGAAAATGAAGCACGAACACATTTCTCAGCCATTTTCAGGAGTCAGAGATCTAAATAACCTGTGTGATGTACCATATTGGGGCTGATGAGAGATTTGGCTGTGAGGATGCGTGAGAGCCCTCCATCATCTCAGCCCCACCGGTTAGGGATGAGGTGGGAACATTTTGAGGATATGGACCTCTAGGTGCCCTGTTGCACTCTCATACTTTAAAAATCCTACCGGCACTATGTTCAAACGATAGAAATAATATATCAACAATACAATACAACAATTATTTTTCTTAATACAATTTAGTGGGTGCGATCACACCGTATGCACTCCCGTGCGAAAATTTGAGAAAATAGTACCTCAAGCTGGCCGGAAATGACACTCTTATATAGTAAAATTCATCATCAAAACATCACCATGATCCTTTATCAGCAATTTTCAGCTATCATAGAGATCTAATTAATCTGTATTGTACCATAGAAAATAAAACTTAATTGTCTTTGATGTATTTACTTTACGTTACCTACTTCGTGTGCCGAAAATCTTATACTTTTTCTAATACTTCTCAAATGATAACAAAGCATGTGTACACTCGAGTCGTGTATTATAGGTAATTCAGAGTCTATAATGCAAGATGTACAGTAGCGTACTCTTTTCGTTAAAGCCTAGGTTATTTATGCAGTTGATTTCAACAACTTTCAGACATCATCTTTATGAAATTACATTGTGGTCGAAACGTGGGGGGGGGGGGGGCGTGGGGGGGGGGGAGGGGGGAGGGACGTGTCCCCATGATCTGCGCCCATGAACGTACAGCTGCATAAAATGCTCCAAATATAGAAAATGCTACCCATGGAGAAAATGTTTATTGATTGTAGACTCATCTGCTACTGAAGCCCTAGCAAATTATCATTTAAGGACACCTTGGTTGATAGAAGAAAAATAACAGTTATTTCTCATGGCCTATCGTAGCTCAGAGCGTTCTAAAACGATAATTGACGCAAATTTTCCATGATGGTTGCACCTTACCTGTTACGGAAGCCTACTGCAAATTAGGCCTATCGTTTATCATTGTTTAGAGTGCTCTACAACGATGCTTAACGCAATAAAACAATATTAAGAAATGAAATGTTTTAAGGATAGATTTAGAGGAAATGTGAAAAAAAAAAAAAATGTATGTATCCAGCTAATGGTGGCCGGCTCCTCCAGACAGGGATCCAGCATGTCACTTGCGCCAGCATTGTTAATGTATCTTTTACTTAGGTGCTAACAGAAGAGAGCTATTTCACAACTTTTCAATTTTTATTATTTGAATTTTCTCTTAGTTTTCAAGTTTATCAGTTTTACATGAGGTTTCTGAATAAATTAAAAATAGAAATATAGAGCATCTCTTGCGCTTCAATTATGATATTTGTTAGTAATAGAGGGCGCCGTAAAATAATTTTGTGATGGAAAATGAACATCACATTACAGTAGTAATAATGACATACGTGAATTGGAAATGTATTTATAGGTGCGGTATCAATGACTACGTCAATATGCCAAGAAGTGCCTAAGGCAGTTAAATAAAAGATTCCCTCAATAACAATGTATAATAATAAACTATGTTTGTGTTATTTTAGCTTCTTGCAAATGTCAAGCACAGACTGTGTGTATGATGGCTGACACAAGGTAATGCATGTAAAATGATCAACTTCTAATTCCATTTCACTGTATTCTTTTTACATACGTTGTAAGCTTTTAAGCTTAAGCGTTGAATGTTTGCTCTTTAAATATTTTTTACCTGTTTTATTATTTTTATGATTTTATTTGTATTTTTCTGTTGGGGAAATTAAATAAATCTTATAAAATTATATTTTCTTGCTTCCATACAAAAAAGTTGATTGATATATTGATTCATTATTAGCAGAAAGAATTAGTGTTTTCCCGCAAGACTTTATAGCTCGTATAAATCAAATCAATCTTTATTGCAATCATACAAGTGTTGATTGGAGTTTACATAATAGCAGTACAAAAATATTAAATATTATTATTAGTATATTAAATTGTCAGTTCTGTACTCTGATATCGATTTGAGTCAAGCGATTGTCGTACTACCTGTATACATTTGTTTATATTTAAATGTTATTTGCGATACCGTGCTGTAAAATATTCACCTATAAATAAGCACTCTTCCTGTCTTGTCCTGTCAGTTTACGATCAATGTCACTGGAGGGCAATTTACACGGTATCAGACACGTGCCTTCGTTGTTATATTAATATACAGCATATTAACTGGAAATTACATTTGTCAAAGTCCAATCTATGAAGATTAATGATTTACTACTAGGCCTATGTTAGTTTGAGAAAAGATATGAATAAATACATAATGTAATATCGATGCAAATATTTTCAAAGTTGTTGGAGTTGATTTTGAATTACATTGTATTTCAAAGTAAATAAATAAATATATAAAAAAATGTTTATGTGACATCAATTTGTTTCATTTTAACACAGCTCGCAGAACCCAATTAGCATTAGCGTGTCTAACTGCAATATCAACAAATTCAATCAACGAGAGAAGTCCTGCTTAATGGATTCACAGGTAGTGTAGTAAAAGAGTTAAACAGGTCATGTCCACAGTATAACGTGAGAGGATGGTTTTGAATGGTCGTTTAAAAAATACATAGGCTAAATAAAAAGAATAGAATTAATATTAATAATAATAATAACAACAACAACAACATGAAAACAAAGGATGAAATTGCTACCGATAATAATGTTGACACTGATGAAGAGGAAGAAGCTTTTTAAGGTGTATGATTATAAATAAACAAATGAATGAGCGAGTGATTGAATGAATGAAAGAATGAATGAATGAGCGAGTGAATGAATGAATGAGTGAATGAACTTATAGAATGTACAAATCAGTTTACTTGCCTTTTTTTCTTTTCTATGAGAGTTACCTTACCCTGCTACCTGTGGAAATGGACTTGTTGAAGTCAATGAACAATGTGATTGCCTGCCAGATGATTCAGTAAGCGTTTTTATTGATTAACAAAAATGCAAATTATTGTTTCTCACATGCACATACAAACATATGCAAGTCAAAGTCACCGTTTAAAATCTAATCTCAATATTAACATAAATAACCACCTCCGAGAGATTTTGAGCAAGGCCCGACCACGCCCACTCCAGTGTAAGCTTCATATGTATGCTGATGATTCAATCATTTTTTGTTCTTTACCTGACTCTTATTTACTTCATGCATGGTACTTGTTTCTTGTTACTTGTTACTTGGTATAGCGCCTTTCTTTTCAGTTACGAAGCGCTGAAGTTCTTTTTCCTTGGTCATTGGGTCCACATGCTAAGTTTTGCTGCTGGTAATAAGCGCAGGAGCAGGTAACCGCACCAGGTTCCCATTTATACTCCTGGGTGAAGAGAAGCAATGCAGATAAAAAGTGTCTTGCTCAAGGACACAAGCGAAATGCACAGCGATAGAGCTGTCTCTTATACACATCTAGATGTGTATAAGAGACAGCCTGGAAATTGTAATTACCGAAAATGGACTATTAACAGAGTAATAAAGAGAAGAAAGGACGATAAGGAAAAAAGCAAAGGCAGTGTTGGTTTGCCATATATAAAAGGGCTATCTGAGAAAATAAGAAGAATACTGCATCAGTATAAAGTAAATGCATTCTTCATTTCTATGAATAAAATTAAACAAGGTCTTGTCCATCCTAAAGACAAAATCAAAAAAGATAACCGTGGGGCATAGTTACCAACCGTCTCGAATCGTGCGGACGGTCCCGCATTTCAAAGTGATTTTGGATGAAAACACGCATTTTGCAGAAACACATGCAAAAACATATTTTTTCTTCTTGGAAGTATTGAGTTTATTGATATAAACAATGGAAAGAAAAAATAGGGTTCACTGCAGCTGAACATCATAAACAAGCAGTAAATAACGGTAAAATAAACAATATAGTAAAATAATTAAAAATATAAAATTCAAAAAAGAAAATTAAAAGGAAAAAAAAGGAAGGAGGGAAGAGGGAAGGAGAGAAGGAAAGGGAAGGGAAAAGGAAAAAAAAACAACAATTATTCCCTGAATTAGAGAGCTCTATTGAGATTGAAGCAAAGCAAAATAGGGTTCACTGCTGCGGTAATTAACAAACAGTAAATAACAGTAAAAAAAACAATATAGTAGAATATTTAAAAATATAAAATGAAAAGAAAAAAGAAAGAAGAAAAAAAAGGAAAATTTGGTTCACTGCCGTGGTTAAGTAACAAACAATAACAGTAAAAGAAAACAATATAGTAGAATATTTGTTATCTTACATTTAAAGAAGAGAAACTTAGAAGAAGCAATTAAATTATTATTTGTATCACTTATTTTATTTGAAACTTTAAATACAATACTGAAATTTATGTGTTAAAATACGATTGATAAATAAATGAAACCCAAAAGATACAGTAAACAGTACAGTAAATATGTTAACTTGAGATATTGAATATTATTATTTATATTTACTTAATGTTTGTGTTTATTTATGGTAGTAGTCCTTATGCAATACTGAACAATTCAAATATATAATATTTATTTAAACCAAAAATTGTATGTCGTTAAGTGTATATTATTCTAGTTGTCAGAATAACTCAGTTGTGAAGTTAGCCCTTTGTAGTTTACATTGACTCAGTTGATATTTCTTTCATTTTACTGTAACTGGAAACAAAGAAATTCTAAATAAATAAATGTTGCTGTAAAAGGTTTTACACTTTATACTGTACTGATAATCATCCCTTGTTATACGTTGAATTAATTATGCAATATTTTATACATCTTTTATAATTTGTATACTTATTCTTGTATTGTAGAAGCTATGAGGCAAGTTTATTTTTAATTATTAAGAAATAGATTGATTTGTCAATGTGCAGTGTAGTTTGTAGTTATGTTTATTTAATAATACAAAGTTTTTAACATTTCTAATAAAATAGTAGTTTCATCAGAATGATGATTTTCTGTAAAATAGGAAAAAAAAGCCTTAAGAGAAAAGTACTGCAAATGAAACTGGTAAATTGGAAGATGTTTTTTTTTTCTGTGTGTAATTTTATTTTAATTTTTTTTATTTAGTTATTTATTTATTTATTTATGTGTATAAGAGACTATATATATATATATTAGTTTAATTTTTACTTAATTTTTATTTTATTTTATTTTATATCACAGTACAGTATATTATATTGGTTTTGGAAATGCTAATTTTTTTTTTCTTTTTTACTAGAAGATAAGATTTTTTATTGTAATATTGCGTTATACTATATTATGTTGTTATATGTATGTTAAAACCAATAAAAAAAAAACAATTATCAAAATATAAAAAGGAATTAAAATCATTATAAAATTTACAATAAAAACTGTCAAGACATCAAAATACGAATAAAAACTTACAATCTAAACAATTCAGTCAAATTTTCAAAATATCAAAAGATATTAAAATTATTTAAAAAAATTACATTAAAAACGGTCAAGAAAAGATGAAATCAAAAATACGATAAAAAAAAAACATACAAAATAAACAATTCAGTCACAACACTTAAAGAGTCAACGTCAAAAATACGATCAAAAACCGCTTTCGAAAAAATGAATATAAAAAGCATTAAAAAGCAAGGTGAACAGAAATACAAAATCAGAAAACTGAGTCACTGGTTAATGAGGCTGGTGAGGCTACTTTTACCTTTTAGTAAAACATAGAGGGTCTTCAAACTTGCGCTGATTTCTAAGTGACATGTGATGTGTAGATTGATTATGAATATACCACTTATTGAAACGTTTTGAGCGAAAGATGTTAAGAGCAAAGGTCTGACAAATAGTATCCCTTCACACGAAGAGAGTGCCCATGTATAACTGCTATGGTAAGAAGGTACCTTAAGAATGAGTTTGACTCCTCTTTTTTGGATAAATTCTATTGCATTTGGTTGTTTAATAGTAAAGGATGAGTGCCAAACTGGGACACAATATTCAACACATGGCTGGACATGGTATAAACAGTGACTAAATCATCCTTAGGACAGGGGTGGCGCCAGCATTTGCCCGACGGGGGGGCCGAGGTCCCCGACGAGGTGGTTGGGGGGGGGGGCAATGCCCCGACGAGGCGACGAAAGCAAAGTGGGCGTGGTCGAGCTTAAATTAAAAGATTTCGAAAGTGATACAGGGGGCGAAGCCCCGAAAATTTTGAGAATTTATGGGTTTCAAAGGCTTATTTAATCGATCGAGTCTACTAATATGTAAAATATACATATAATTTTTTTTCTTCCCGATGAATACAGAAGACACTCCGAGATCGGAGAAACTACATAAGTGTCTTCCTGAACGGTGTTAATTACGGTAATTATTATCTCATCTACACAGTTAGCTAAAATGACATTCATATTTTTTGCAGATGTACCTGATACGAATGGGTCTCATAAAATACATCGTTAATAATAATATTATTAGACTATCATTAGTTTATCGCTCTGATTTTGATTATTAATTCATCCAATTTCCAATTAATGTCAAATTGTATTCAATTTAACTGTCGCCACCAGCTGATATCAGAGACAGAGACTAGAAATGCGTTTCCTTTTTTTCTTCATTCCACCATCGGCCGATTTGTATAGCTGCTGTCTCTTATACACATCTGTTTTACACTTTATACTGTACTGATAATCATCCCTTGTTATACGTTGAATTAATTATGCAATATTTTATACATCTTTTATAATTTGTATACTTATTCTTGTATTGTAGAAGCTATGAGGCAAGTTTAATTTTAATTATTAAGAAATAGATTGATTTGTCAATGTGTAGTGTAGTTTAAATGTTTATTTAAAATACAAAGTTGTTAACATTTCTAATAAACAGTAGTTTCATCAGAATGAAAAAATGAGGTTTACTGCTGAGATAAACATACAAGCAGTAAATAACGATGAAATGGGTGTTGTTTTTCCCTTTACAATTTACAATTTTGACTTATATGCAAAAGAAAAAAAAAGAATGAAATTGGTTGAGAGCTGTTTAAATGTTCTATTAAATGTGTGTAGGTATATGTGTATGTATGGGTGGGCATACATATGGTGTGTGTATTTATATGTATGTATGTATATGTATATATTTAAATGTATGTATATGTATATATATGTATATGTGTGTGTATATGTATATTGGTTAAATTAAATAATACATTTCATATTTATGAAAATTACTAAGCTAACAAACTTTTTGTCTCATACTTTTATAAAAAAAAAAAAAACTGGTGAATTGTCATTACCAAGCCTTGGCTCACATAGAATGGGCTGTTTCCATGTTGAATTTTTTATTTCAGTGCTAAATTTGACCAAAAAATGAAATTTTACAAGTTTTTACCCAAAATACGATTTTTGGGTAAAAACGATTACAATTTTGCCATTTTCTGGTCAAACTTGGCAATTAAATCAAAATTCAGCGTAGCAACATCACATTCTGTGTGAGGCAAGAGCTGGGGATGAGGATTCAGATTGTTTCCAGCTTGTAACAAATGATACCTACGAAAAAACATTTTTGAGCACTTTCAATCAGATGGCCACCCGTTTCAGCACATATTTGTGTATGTTTTAACACTGCCGATTTGTGGACCTTAGCAGCAATATCCAAGGGCTGGGGCTTTATTATCACTTTATTTATTCAAAATATCATCTACAGTAAACTGATAACTGTATGGTGGCCAAAGGCCAAATTGAATGTTATTTACAAAATGTCTAAAAACAGTTACAATTTTTTAAAACAGCAATAATATTCAAAAGTCAGAAAAATGCAAAAATAAAAAGAAATGAAAAAATCGAAAAAACACTAAAAATTTATAATAATATGTAACAAATTACAACCAAAATTTAGGGAAACTTATAAATGTAAATGTGAAATTAATTATGGGGTTTTATTCTCGTTTTCTTGTTATTTTTAGGAATGTAAAATGTGCTGCGAGAACTGCTCATTCCGCACAGGCGCAGAATGCTCTAGTGGTGCCTGCTGTTTAAATTGCCAAGTATGTTTTCTTCTTTTTTTCAGTTCTGAGTGTATGCTTACAATGTATATGCTTCATAAACAACTATTAATTTGAATATCTCAGTTATAATCATTATAATTATAAATAATGTATATTTTTATTGTTCATGTTTTTATTGGTGCTGCTGTTGATGTTGTAGACATTCTTATTATTTTTATTATTGAAATTGTAATAATAATAATAATATCTTATGATATTTTATCGTTAACATCAACTTCGTATGTTTATAATCATATCTATCACAATCTTGATACGAATAATAATAATAATAATAATAATAATAATAATAATAATAGGCCTAATAATGATTATGATGATAATGATATTGATATTGATAGGCCTATGGATATTATTGATATTGATATTAATTTCAATATCAATATCGATATTGATATTGATACTGATATTGATATGGATATTATTGATAATCAATATTGATATTGATATGGATATCAATATTATTGATATGAATATTATTGATATTGATAATGATAATGATATTGATAATAATGATATTAATAATGATGTTGATAACGATATTGGTAAAACGTTTGAGAAAATCGTATCATGTCTATCAGGATTCGAACCAATCGTCTTCAATTACCGTCCATTTGCTTAACATAGCTATAAATCTTAGCCTGGTGATACTATCCTTCAATGATACCATTATAGGACACTCATCTCATGAAAATATGCAATAATAGTAATAACACTGTTGCTGACCCATAAAGGATTGTTCTTCGGCAATAACTGGTGATGGGCTTAAATGTGGTGTAGCGTTTGTTTTTTGTTTTTTTTTTGCGTTTATGTTTCAAATTAATCTAGAGTAAATAAGGTAACGAGCACTGTATGCTTCACAGCCAATTTTATTTGTTTAAATTTTACCTTATTCCCTTCAGCGTCAAAGCAATAGTACAAAGACAAGGACAAAGAAAGAAGGAGGCTGAGGAGGGGCAAAAGCTGTATTATCACCAGGAAGGTTGTGCCCCTCCAACTCCGACTTCTTTAACATTAAACAATAGTAATAAAAATAGCAATACAATAAGATATAAGAAAAATTATAATACTAAGCAACCAATTGGACAATAACAAAATCGACATTAAAAAAGATTCAAAAGATTAATTAAATGAAAGTATAAAAATCTCAATAATTACAATTTTAAAGGCAAAATATAAAAATTCTAATTATACAAAACAAGTAAAAACAACAAATTAAATAATGTTACATATAACCACTAAACATCAATTATGAAATAGCAATGAAAATATATTACAAGAAGTTTTTCAACATGGCGAGGACTGACCTCAATGCTACTAAGGAGGAAAGAATCACAAACGTAATTAAATAAAAGCCTGTAAATAAAAAGTACAGTAAAATAGTTCCTAGTAGATTCCGTTGTGCAAAGTCAAGAGATTAAAGACGATTGTTGTAGGTGTCGTCTTGTCGTGGTTGATGTAATATAAATAGTGTTGCACGACGTTGAATCAGTTAAATTTTGTTAACATTATCTTTCCTATAAGGATACCAAATATCACAACAGTATTGCATAAGTTTTAAAAGACTGGTGTAGTACAACTTATTGCAACACAACGCATAAATCCCAACATTTTATAGCATTTGGAGGACACTTTTTCTACTTGTTTGGTCTAGGATAAATTATGAGAAATGGAGACATATTTTGAGGGTAGGCATGAACAAAAATAAATGTGGACCTTTTAATATCTATCAATTTGTGTGATAAATTAATGATTTCTCTCAATATAATATCTTTATATATTTCTAGTTTCGGATAAGTGAGCAGTGCCAAAATTGCAAACCGCCTTCCGGTTGCGCTGAAAATCAGGTAGAGCAAACAAATATTTTCTTGCAAATGTTGTTGTAAAAGCTTGTTGATTAATTTCACTAGATGTAGGTTTTTCACGAAAAATAACGATTCTTTTTTTTTTCTACATCACTCACATTTATGACACCGCCCTATCATAATTGTATTCATTCAGTGGCGGATTCAAGGGGATGGGGAAGCCGCCACCCACCTCCCCCCACCCACTAAAATTTTAGAAATTGTTAAAAAAAATGGGCGGAAAAAACCTAAAATTATATTTAAATTTCAAGTCTGAGAGTGCCATTTCCGGTTATCTACAGTTGCAAATTAGGTCCTGGGTTGGTGATTTTTACATTCCAGTAGAAACTGGATCCGGTCCTGAAAATTTTTCAACAATGTTATCAGGCCCGTAGCCAGGTTCTTCCAAGGGGTTTTTCTGGGCGTGCGGTCCACAATCGAAGCACTGGTGGTGTCGGCGAAACCCCCAAAGCAAGAGGATTTTTGTGCTTTGTGGGTCTAAATAATGCTATAAAAGTAGAAATGTTTGAAAATGTCTGTGTCTGGGTGGGTCTGCAGTGCATTAGTTGGGTTGGAGGACTTATTTTGGAAATTTAAAGAGGGGGTTTCGCCAGAAAAGAGGGGGATTTCTACAAAAGGGGGTTCTCCCGAACCATAACCCCACCCCCTGTTAACGGGCCTGATGTTATCGTTATGTAAGACGGGTTTTTATTGTGGAAAGTGGCATAAAATTAAAACTTATTTAAACTAGATCCATGTTTAAGCTAAGTTTAGAACGTACCGTAGTGTGTATTAAGAAAGTATAGGCTTTATTTTAGCTGATACTCATTTTTTTTTATAAGAACACATTTTATATGAACACTCAGGCTGAAATTGCTTTAAAACTATGAACAAAATAAGAACAAATTGAGGCTAAGGTAAAATGTTAAATGTGGTAATAGAATAACCAACAAATTTTTATCTGTATCTTACTTGCAGTACATATGACTATGTAATACCCTCTATAATACAGTACGTAGTATACTGCTGCTGTACAATAATAATTTTGTATGTTTGAAAAGTGTGTAAAAATAAGAACATAATAAGAATATTTGAGCCTTAAATCGGCAAAAAAATAAGAACACTGAGCCTGGACAAAATTTGACTAGTTCTTAAAAAAAGAAATTAAATACCTCGGTGTTGCTATTATTAATTTTCGTTAGGGTTTTTTTTTTTTCTCAAAAATCATTATGATTTATAAACAAACGGGCGTCCAACCGGCTAAAATGACGGTTTCCAAACGGCTAAAATGACTTAAAACCGACTAATATTGACATGTTATATAGGGATAAACGTGTTTCGTTTGCCAGTGTGTTTGCCTCGATAGGCAATATTATAATAATAATATTCACCTTTAGTTTTAAAAAATGTAAACAGCTACCGGTACTTGGTAATAGAAACTTGGACAGTACCTGTACTATTTTACACTATTCCGAGCATCAACTTTATGATTCTCATCAAAGCCGGGCACTGTTCACTGCGCCCGACGGTCGTCGGCCGACGCGATTCTATGAAGAACGCAACACGACGACGCGCGCGCAACGGATCGTTTAATGACGATCCGTTCAGACTGCTACCGACAATCAGCAGACGGCGTCGCGTCGTCTAGCGCCTGTCTCTTATACACATCTAGATGTGTATAAGAGACAGCATTGGAGCAGCTGTATCAAACGATTCCTTATCAGACGAGATGTTGGATAGTCTTCTATTGATGGCTTCTGGTATGTTACGAATTATTGACGGTGTGGTGGTTGCTTTGTTGATGGATGTAGGGGGTATTGTTGGGTTTGGAAAATGGTTTGAATGTTCCGGTTCTTAAATCTAGGGTTATGTCCAGGTAATCAACTGATATTTGTTGGCTTCTATGGTGAGATGAGATTGTTGTCCCGAAATACCTTGCATATGTGTTTTTTAATACACTCAATCTTTGTCGGTGACACGTCAAATGCGGCTAGACCGTCATCTCTAT